ATCGGTTACAAGGGAGGGGAGGTCACAGCACCCCCAGCTCAGGGTCACACCTTGGCAAGGGGAGGTCTCTGTCTTTGCAGTTCTCTTTGTGCTGCTGCTCTGAAGGAGAACTGGCAAAGCCCATCACCTGTGGGTCCTGGCAGCAAGCCCAGGGCCACATCCCAGGCAGCTGGACAACCTGCAAAAAATGGTTCATCATGAAACACGGTTACGATAAGGCCCCTGAGGCCATCACCATGGCGGTTATTGGCTGAGTCTGCCCCAGCCGGGGGCTCTGCATCATCAGTGCATGCTCACAGGTACAAACTGGCAGGGAGGTCAGGAGATGTCCAGCTAAGCCGAGCAGCAATTGCCCGAGTCATCTCTCAAGACAAGCAGGTCACGGCACAGAGGAGGTCACGATTGCCACAGTCGGGCATTGGCCTGTTCCCGTCCCCCCACCCTGCACAGGACCGAGCTGCAGACAAGTGCTGCAGTTGTGGCTGTCCCTTGCCCGTTGCTGTGTGTGCCTTGGCCTTAGGCCCAGGCACCATCATCATCTCCACAGTAGCACCCAGGGCAGGCAGCACCCCCCCAGCCTCCCCAGCTCCCCTGGCAGACCATCTCTGAGCCAGCCCCTGGCTGCCCCCAGCAAACAGCCCTGCGTGGAGCCACAGCAGGGAGACCTGAGGGTGCGTGGAGTGGCCACAGACCTGGGAGGACAAGGGTGCCCCAGAGTGGCCGCAGCCCAGAGTTGCACGCACAGATGGGTGCTGCCACCCACACCAGGCCACCCCTGATATGTTGTCACCAGTGCAGCAAGGGTGAGGCCACTGATATATGTATCAGGATTGCAAAATGGAGGCTTGAGCAATGCTAAAGCTTCCTCCGCGCTGATCTTTACATGGGTGCTTCACAGCAGGCAGAGCGCAGCCCTCAGTCTGGGCACAGAAGTGCTCCTCCCTCCGCAGAGCTTTAACGAAGAGCTCGTGCTTAGAAAAGCCAGTGGCTCCCCCAGCTCCTTTCTGGGCTGCAACGCCTCAGTGCGGGCTCATCCTTGCCCTGGCCAGACCTAGCTCCCCCTCCCAAGTTTGGTTCATGCTGAACAAGACCCCGGCAGACACGCACAGATCCTGGCCAGTGGCACACAAAACGGGCCACAGACCATGCGGCAGCATCAGCAGGAGGCACGGCTCATGTCTGGGAATGGAAAGTCAAATCTTTCCCAGCACTGGGCAGTCTGGAGGGGAATAAAATGACATCATTTGGCATAACACAAGCCCATTTTGTTAAGCACAAAAGATCAGTGTGGAGAAGTTTGGAGGGTATAATCCAGTGAAGGAAAAAAATCTGATACTCATCTGTGAACCAAGATTTGCTTTACATTTTTCCAAAACTCTGCAAGGATATATAGTATAACAAATTGCTACAGACAGTTTGCTCTTGCAAAAGTCTTCTCAAATACTTTGTCCTACCCTGAAACACAGGGGTTTTCCCAGCAGCTGTTCTAAACCCAGCCCATTTATTTTAAGTGCTTGCAGACTGGCACCCCTTTTGGGCAACATGGAAGGGCCCCCACACAGGCTGCGTGGACCGAGGTGGGCAGGGCGGGCAGGCATAGGCAGCACCACAGCCCCACGCTCTCCATGATGCTGCGGGCAGCAGCAACCAAACTGCCAGCTAGGGAAGGGCTCTGTCTGGCGTGAGCAAGGGGCAGCTTGGGGAGGATGGCTGGGAACAGGCTGAAAACTGCAAGCTTTGGGATGGCCATAGGACACAGGAGAGTCAGGCGTGGAGCTGGCAGCTGGAGCTCGGAGAGACGTAACTGCTCCAGAGCCCATGAGAAGGAGAGAGGAGAGGCAAACCCATGCAGAACTATTTATTTTGGCTGTTAATTTGCTGTCACAGAAGTGGAGCCGACCCCTAGAGCCAACATGATGGAGGTGGTGGGGAGGCACCCGGGGGTGAGGGCAAAAACCTGTCTTCTAGCACCAATGTGGCCTTAGGTCAGATTAAGCCAACTAAAACCTGATCCTAAAGCCCTTCACTGCAGCAGGAACCTCGACTGCCTTGGGGAGGAAAGAAATCAGTTCCTTGGGTCCCAGCTCTGCAGCGCTGTCCCTCTGTGCACTCACAAGCTCCAGCAGTTTATAAAGCACAGGACACATCCCGGCAATTCTGCTTATTGTTTTCTTTTGCAATCTTCCCACAAAACTGCTGGTTATTTGGCTGGCAGAAATCTCTGTACGCTCTGTGCATCCTACTTTACACCAGAACTCCCAACTTTTTGTTTTCCTGCAAGACTCACACCCTGGTAAGGGGCCACTCACAGCCCACGCGATTGATATGCCCCACAGGCATGTACCCCTGTCTTACCCCATAATAACAGTACAAATAATAAATACAGAAGAGCCATGGCCATTTCGGTGTCCCAGTGCCACTAGATGGCACCAGGTGTGTACCCTTCCCAGTCCGGGGTGTCCCCAGGGCCTCTGGGGGAAACTGGGGGGACCCAGCCCAGTCCTTGGTGCAGAGCAAGAGACCTCAACCCATGCCAGGGCCACTTTCTCCTCCTTCCCACACTGACGTGGGGTGCTGGGGTAAAGGCAGACATTTAAGCCTTAAAATCAAACCTTCAGCATGGTGCTGGGGTGTTTCCCTGTGAGGAAATTACCTGCAGTGGCTTTCACTGTGGGGCTGATCCCACATACGCTCCCGTCCCCATCCATGGGTCGGGCATCACTCCTCAGCCGGGTGCTGGCAGAGCCCGGGGCTGGAGAGGAAAGCTTCAAAGGTGCGTGCAAGTTACTCTGGTTAATATTAGGATCAATGTATGAGTTTCTCAGCATCGACAGGCTTCTCTTGGGAGGGAGAAGGAAAGGAAATAAACCACAATTTTCTATATCATTTTGCAATCAGCTTGCTTGCTCTCTCTGAGGTGTCATGGGTTTAGGGATTGATTCTCCTCATGCACGTTTGCTATCCCACAGAAGTCAGCATGTCCCAAATCTTCAGTATTACCTGTTTTTTCATCATCAAGCCCTTCCTTCACTGTCACATATCCTTGGCAAAAGCCACTGAGTTAGCTGGGGAAGTGCAGGTGACACCTCAGCAAATGTCAGGTCTTTCCTCAGATCTTGCAGCATAATTAAGGGGTGTCTGTTTTCCACCGTCTTCAGCATTGAGCACTGAAGGTGACCCTCTGAGACAGCAGCTCAAATGACAGGGGTGGCTGGTGAGGCTCTGCCACACACAGCACTGCAAAGTGACCCACCAAACCCCAGCCCCAAGCAATGTGGGGGACACGGGTGACAAATCACTGCTCACCACACAGTCTGTCAGCCCGGTGCAGAGCCAGAGAGGCGATGGATGGAAAGCAGTTCCCAAAAAAGCCAGAGCATCAAACCATCAGGAGCAGCATGTCACTCCCTGCTGCCCGTGTCCCTGGGGCTGGCACGTCCAGGTGGTGGGTGAGCGTGGCAGTGGCATGACCCTGGCATCACAGGGATCCCTGTGAAACCTTGGGTGCAGAGGGAGTGGGAGAGTGTCTTTGTGCAGGGAGCCTCTGGGTGCTGAGCTCCGACTGATTCTGTCCTGCTTACGGCGGTGGAGCCACTGTGGGGGCTGCT